TCAAAACAAGTCAAAAAATTATTAAATTAATAAAATGAAATTATATAGAAAAATAATAATATTTGATATGTAACATACATAGCCTTCTGTGAAGTTTTCCGTCAGTTTGCGCTATCATTATCATCTACCATAGTTTATCTGGATTTTACTAACGTTTAAATGTGCGGTAAAAAATTTAAATTTTGAAATTAACGGTGAATACGGCCGAGTACATACTAAACAGTCCAAAAGTTAAGAAACAAAGGATTTCCCGAGGTGGGAATTCGAACCCTGATACAATGAGTTTTAGGAGTCCGATGCTTTATCCATTCGGCTACTGGGCCGTTATGGTTATACACCATGGATTCACACGTATGTGATGTATAATGTGAGTGTTGCTATCCCCGCGGCGTGAGAGGGAGGTCACCGTGAATACGTTGACGATGACGTTCAAACGTTAACCCTCACATCCAACACCGCCACACTAACCTTCACACTAAATATATATGTGTCGCGCGCTATATATAGGCAGTGTTATCCACCAAAATTAATCTATGGTGTGGGACAGATAATCATGATCAAACCCTAACCCTAACCCTAATCCTAACCCTAACCCTAACCCTAACCCTGATGCTAACGCTTAGCCTAATACTAACCTTAACCCTAACCCTAACCTTAGCCCTAATCCTGACCCTAACCCTAATCCTAACACTATTCTAACACTAGTGCTGCCACGCTGCGGTCACCTACCTCCACGCCCGGGGGATAGCATTACCCGTTATAATGTTAATCTGTACGCCATCTATATGATGAATATAATGTTTTTATAAATTTTTACTTTTTTACTTTTTTGAAATTTTGTTCAGCCAGACCACCTCCCAGACGTGCTGATTCTAAAAATATATTTAGTTTTCCTCTAGGCTGCGGAGTTCTCTAGTTATGCGCGAACACACAAACCGGCCGAACAACTTTATATGTACTAGCAGAAAGTATACCCGTAGAACCAGCAAATGTTAGTCTTTACAATATAAACTCCCATGTAGTGACACAGATAAAGTTAATATTCATGTAACTGAAAAGAAACCCTCCACTGGGTACAACAGAACACTAGGCACAGCTACTGGCCACTGATACTGCTTGTCCAGTTACCGGCCGGCCTCCGACTCGGATAGCCATACCACAATCGAGATGCGAGCACGTAGAGGGTACCGATGACGAGTCGACTAGTAGGTCTCAGAGTACGACTTGGTACTAGGTCATGGCATGGAAGTGAGCATTTTAATGACTTTTATCTTTTGATTTCTTATGATTTTTTACTGTTGGGATTGGATGGGATGGGATGGGATGGCATGCGATGGGATGGGATGGTATGGCATGGCATGGCATGGCATGGGATGGCCTGGGATGCGATAAGATGGCATGCGATGGGATGGGATGGGATATTGGATGGGATGCAATGGGATGCGGTGCGATGGGATGGGATGGGATGGGATGGCATGGCATGGAATGCGATGGATGGATGGATGCATGGATAGATAGATAGTCCGATTTTATTGGGTATTTTCCTTTCAACCAAGCGGTCACGAACTGAGTAACGCCGCTGATTTCCCCGAGCAACGCCGGGTATCCCGCTAGTATATATATATACGAGTGAGTGAGCTTGATGGCTTGACATGTCAGTCACTGCTTGAATAAAGTATCTGGATACTTAGTTAGATCATTTGGTAGTACAGCTAATGGCATGCAAATTTTGCCATTTTTTAAGAGTTCGTTCGGCTAGCAGTCTTTCCCTAAACAATACGTGCGTTCGTTTGACTAACGCCATCATAAAGTTGTTTACAAACAACAACCCATCCCTGGTGTAGAACATTGGCCCACACTGAAACTAAAGCACAATGCACTAGTACGTACTAGTCATACCTATGTTAGCAGAAATCTCTATATAGAAACGAAACCTGTTTATAAAAGACGTTGTTGGCGCATCCCCTGAGTGGCAGTTATATATAGAGAGTATCTCTGTAAAACGGACAGTAGTCTACTATAGGTGACACACATTTCTCTTGACTGGCAGAAATATACAAGAGGGAAACCATCTCTACAGAGTGGGAACCTGTCTATAGACGCCACTTTTGCCAATTCCTTTGAGCGGCACTTATGGAGTGAAACCACCTCTATAGAAAGGACATTTGCCTATAATAGAAACTTCTTGCATTTTACTTGAGTGGCAGTTACGCAATAAAACCATCGCTATGGAACGGACATGTATCTGTCTATTATAGACACTTCTGGCGTTTTCCTTACTTCGGAGTTATACGGTGAAACGATCTCTATAGACAGAATACCTGTCTACAAAGAGCAGTTTTGTTGTTTCCATTGACAGACGCTTACATACAGGCGTGACTGTACGCGTATATGCCTCACTTTATACCTTCTCTATTTTATCGGGAATGTCCAGCGAGTCCTGCTGCTCAGTCATTGTTACTTTCTTCTGACTAGACTCCTGGTTGGGATCGGACGGGTGAGATCGTTGGCTCTCCTGTGAAAATGAGATGTGGGGAATAAAAAAAAACCGTTCAGTGTTGCTGCATCAGGGTTATCAGTTGCAGTAAGATCGACATGCTGAACCCTACAGACCATCGCTAACTTTATAGTTCAATGGCAAGGAGAGACTGGTTGAATACACATGGGGTAGCATTGTGGATGTGCACCAGATAGAGATAGAACATGCCTTCAATTCACGCAGGTATCATGAACCTTGGAATAAGTTAATTGGATTTCATGATAATATCAAGATCAATTCTGTAATTTTGTTATTCTGCTTTGACAAAAGGCAGTTAGACCAAACTGTCATTAACAGGTCTATAAAATCAAATTTGAATTCAATTTTAGAATAATTACTCTTTATAATAATCATGATCCTATTTTTGCATTTTTGATCCAAAATATGTGGAGCATGCAGGTTTAATAGAGTTGGTTTTCATTGACAAGGACCAGTTGGTTAAATATTTAGTAACGTAATTAAAAGCAATAAGCCAAGTTCATTAAACAATTATATTACTATACACAGCCTCATCATTAGATAACATGTATGCAAATACTCCTAATTTAATAGCCATCATAAACAAGAAGCAGTTTCATTACTATTCCTTATAGTTTGTTGGTTTGTTATTAAATATGTCATATATTGATTATATAGAGTGAAATCCCAATTAATACCTTCTCCATGGTACTTGGGGCCTTGGTTTTATTCTTATTATCTGACAGTGCAGGAAAGTCCTCTTCACTGGATAGCACTGCTACAAGATTCTTCTGTAGATCACCGGGTGACTCCTGAAATACAACATATGCCTGCTTACTTAAACAATATAAACAATCGAATCCAAGCCTTGTTGCACAGCACAAGACTTGGTCAACAGTAAAGTAATTACTTTCTTTAAAGTATGAATTTGAAAAGTAGTCAATGATTCCCTTACTGATATTTGAGAAACTAGATATAAAATCAGAATGTAATGGGACGCTAAGCAGAGATTGTGGATTACAGCACTTTATGAGAGGAGAATCATTTGCTGCCTACACGCGTTTATGTGCCGGTATGCTCATGATTGCGTGCATGCAGCCACCACCTACACGTACCGTACACGTATTCAGCTTGATTTCCACTCTCTATACTAGAGTAGAAGAGTCATGTCGTTTTCCTATATGGTGTTTTTTTCCCCACAATCTAATGAATCTATTACCTTTCAACATCTTCTACACAGTCACCTTTTAATTCTCGCTGTCTGCCTCTCCTCTCATCTCTCTCCCCTCTCCCCTACTTCTGGCTCTCCCTCTATCTCTCTCTCTCTCTCCTCTCTCTCTCTCCTCTCTCTCTCTCTCCTCTCTCTCTCTGTGTGCCTCCCCCTCTCCCCTACCTCTGTCTCTTCCTCTCCCTCTCTCCCGGCTCTCTCCCTCTCTCTCTCTAGCTAGCTCTCTCTCTCTCTCTCCCTCTCCCCGTCTTTTTCTCTCACTATGCTCGATCTCATTACAGACGTGAAATATAAACTGTGCACATTTTTGTGATACTTCAGCGGTGTGTAAGAGCGACCTAACAAAACCCCAACTGCCCCCTCCCACGTGTAGTATACGTCTTCCACCGATGAGTGGTTATGGTTAGGGTTAGGATTATGGCCAAGATAAGGATCATTGCGATTATGATTCGAGTTAGGCTTAGTGTTATGATGAGGGTTGGGGTGTTGCCCATGCACCCGGACCAAATGGCATGTCCCCACTCGATTGAATCTACTGGTACGAATCATCGGTGCATTACACCGTAGGCTTCCACTCAGCACGGACAGACACTGTGAGACACACGTCCCCCTCCTGAGTCCTATTCCCTGCACTCTCACGCACGACGACAACAATAACAAACAATCGTGCGACGACACCGCCCACGCACGCGCGCGGACAAACCCCGCCCTGGGTAATTGCTCTCGTGAATGGCACGATGCTGTCGCCGCGACCTTTCGAGCAGCCGCGACCTTTAGAACACCGGCATTCACACAGCGGCGCCGGTCCGCCTGCGCTGATCGTCACACGTTTCATATATAATGGAGTCAGCCACTGCGTGGATGCTTGGATACGTGAGCGGAGTTCGCTCGTACAATCAATCTAGATGATATCACTCAGCCTTCCGGCGGCTCGACATTCTCGTGATGGTGCGCTACCCCGATAGGCATTCTCCTGATATTAAATAAATGAACAGGGATTTGCAGACAAACATTTCCGGATCTATGCCCTCTAGAATAAGAGTGTGAGTAGCAGCACCAGCGACAACATTAATGCGACAGCAACACAAACAAGAGCAGTAAGCGTAGCAACAACAACACAGTAGCGCAGTAGTAGTAGTAGTAGTAGTAGAGTAGTAGTAGTAGTAGTAGTACTAGTTAGTAGATAGTGAGTAGCAGTAGCGAGCAGCAGTAAGCAGGCCAGCAGCAAGCAGGCAGGCAGGCAGCAGGCAGAAGTAGCATAGCCGGCAGGCAGTTAGGCAGGCAAGCAGTCGCAGGCAGTAGTAGCAGCAGCAGCACAACAGCAGTAGCAACAGGCAGCAGTAGGCAGCAGCAGTAGGCTAGTAGTAGCAGTAGTAGGGCAAAGGCAGCAGTAAGCAACAGGCAGGCAGTAGGCAGCAGTAGCAACAGCAAGCAGTAGGCAACAGCAGCAGGCCAGCACGCAGCAACAGCAGCAGCAGCAGTAGCAGGCAGCAGCAGCATGCATGCATGCATTTACAACACCAAGCCCTACATAGTACGTGTCAAACGTCAGTGACGGTTGCCGAACAACACAAATACACACTGAAGTGTTATATCGGCAAAAACTGACCGCACGAGAATCGTACATGGAGTATGAGGTGAGTGTGAGGAGGAGATTTGTGAGGTAACAGGCCGGTTTATATAGCTGCAGACTGCCACCGGGGGAGGGAGGGGAAGGGAGGGGATAGGGGGAGGGGAGGAGGGGGAGGAGGATACAGAGAGCAGCCACACGCCGGAAGCACAACAAAATGTTCATGAGCAGCGTGCGGAAGAAGGACGCGTACGAGGTCACTTGGAGGCGTTTCAATAAAAATATAATGCTAAATAATTAACGAAAATCTATTTACTACGTGACCAAAGTCTGTAATGTTTCTCTACTTCTCATTCACGTCTATTATTGCCGAAATTTCCTGTAAATGCCGTCCAATGCCTCCATCTGCAAACACACGCTGGCTGCCGCACGCTAGCTGCTGCACACGACACATGAATGATTTAAGCAGTTATATTTTATTGCAACGGTCCAAGTGCGTGTGAGAATGGCGAACCTGAACAACCATAAAGAGAGAGGGGTAGAAAAAGAGAGAAGAGGGGGGAGGAGAAAGAGAATGGGGGAGCGCGAGAGAAATATATAGAACGAGAGACAAAGAAAAAGAGAGGGAGAGAATGAAAGAGAGAGAGGAGAGAGAGAAAAATAGGAGACAAAGAAGAGAGAGTAGAGAAGAGAGAGAGAGAGAGAGAGAGAGAGAAGAGAGAAGAGAGAGACGGAAGGAAAGAGAGAAAAGAGAGAGAGCACCTCGAGAGGAGAGAGAGGAGAGAGAGAAGAGAGAGAAGAGAGAGAGAGATGAGAGAGAGAGAGAGAGAGAGAGAGAGAGAGAGAGAGAAAGAGAACCCAGAGAGAGAGAGAGAGAGAGAGACAGGAGCGTGGGTGGTAGGTAGAGAAATCGAGAGCGCGGATGGATGGATGATGGATGGATGGATGAATGATGTGAGAGACATGGTGATGGAATGGAGGAGCAATGTTGTAATGCAGTATAGAACTCATTAAGCGCGTGCGACGGGGACGCGTGAACTGATGACACATGCACGGCTATAGTAATACAGTAGTAGTAACAGATCAGGCGTGTCCTTGAACCTCCATCTCGCCTCCTTCCCCGTCTCGCTCTGCTCTCATTCTCTCTCTCTCTCTCTCTCTGTCCTACTCTTCTCTCTCTCTCTCTCGTCCGGCCCAGCATCTCATCAAGGTCTCTCTCTCATCTCTCTCTCAATCTCTCTCTCTCCACTCGTGTCTCTCTTCCATCTCTCTCTGCATCATCTCATCTTCTCTCTCCGACATCGATCCGACGCTCTAAGCGGGGCTCGGTCATCATCTCTCCTTTCGTTTCTTTCCTATTTCTCTCTAAAATCGCTCTCTATCATCACTCGCTCGCGCATCTCCTTCTCATCGATCTCTCATCAAGTCTCTCTCTCAATGCTCATCGAGAATCTTTCTCTGCGCGTCAAAAAAAAGTCTTCATTTGTCTCTACTCTCGTCCCGTCGTCTCGTCTCTCTCTCCTATTGTCTATTCTTTTACTCTCTCTACTCTCTATTACTGATTTCTTTTACGGTAACTTCGGCGTTGGATGCTCACGAACTCGACTAAATAATTGTGCATCACGCAGCAGTAGCAGGTAAGCAGCGTAACACGCACGACACACACCCGGCGTCTACATGCATGCTTACGCCGCTATCTCTACCCAAAATCTACCGGCCGTCCCAGCCCGCGTGCAGTGGGTCGTGTGTGTGTGTGTGTGTGTGCATGGACTGCGTGCGTGCGTGCCCGTGGCGTGCGTGTGCCGTGCGTACGGTGCGTGTAGGTGTGCGTGTGCCGTGTGTGCCGTGCCGCGAGCCGGGTTTAATGTGTAGTGTGTGTGCGTGCGCGCATGTGTTCGTGTGCGTGGCGTCGTGTGCTTGTGTGTGTGGTCGGTGTGGTGTGTGTTACGTGTGCGTGCGTGTGTGCGCGTGTGTTGTGTATGTGTGTGTGTGTGTGTGTGTGTGTGTGTGTGTTGCGGTTGTGTGTTGGTGTGTGCTGTGATGTGTGTGTGTGTGTGTGTGTGTGTGTGCGGTGTTGTGTGCGTGTGTGTGTGTGTGTGGTTGGGTGGTGTGTGCGTGTGCGTGTGTGTGTGTGCGTGTATGAGACGCACATGTAGGAAAAGCGCCCTTCGCGTCGTGTCGCTTCGTCTATAATAGCTGAGTGTGTGATGTGAATTTGCTTTTCGATGGGACGGGACAAAAAAACAGCAGGTACGGCTGCGTCGTCTCTATGCTGTTTGTCCTTTCGGTTCTTTATAGTATTCGGTTTCTGTATACGGTTAGAGAGGGGGAATGGAGAGAGAGAGAGAGAGAACAGAGAGAGAGAGAGCAAGAAGATAAGATAAGAGAGAGAGAGAGAGAGAGAGAGAGAGGGAGAGAGAGAGGAGAGAGGAGAGAGTAGAGCGATGAGGTGAGAAGAGAGGAGAGAGAGATGAGATGAGAGACGAGAGAGAGAGAGAGAGGAGAGGGAGAGAGAGAGAGAGCCAGAGAGAGAGAGAGAGAGAGAGGAAAGAGAGGAGTGAAAGTGAGGGGGAGAGATGGAGGGAGAAAGAGCGAGAGCGAGAGAGACACAGACAGAGAGAAAGAAAGAGATAGAGAGAAAGGGAGAGTGTGACGGGCAGGGTTAGACCTATACCAGCAGATCCCGTAGCCATAGATGACGGTTACGCTATGACTGTCTATCAGTATGACTGTGCATGGAGCCATGAACACTTACATAACCCCGACACAGTAGCAGTGTGTTAGTGCGTATATCCACCACAGATAGCATCTCACACACACAGCACGCGTGATAGAAGAACAATCAAGTACCAAGCACCCGTATCTAAGATGCCCGTACCACACGCCTGCTTCACTGGCTTCTCAATGAGCGTCCCACTCATGTCTCGCTCGGTTAGTCGTGCCTGGCGACGTTTAGACCGTGGTACGCAGTGACTGGCGAAACGTGGGTGCAGGGTTGAATCACCCCGGGTCAA